CTGCAGTTCTCTTCTTGCGCTACCCTGTCAAAGCAGCGCTATCTAGCGTCAAGAAGTAATACCAGTGCCGAACAAAATATAAGTGCATCCACTATGTAGATCTCAGAACACAACTCCATGTTAGATTTTTTAAAAAAAAAGTTCAATTAAAAAAATTGAATTTATTTGAATTTATCATGTCCTGGATGACTGAGAATCTTCACCAGCAAACTCCATGTTAGCCAAACAATCTTTCTCACTTTTAGCAAAAATAGCAACTTGCTCAGCATTAATAGTATCTTTGTAATGCAAAAAACTGTCTGCAATTTATATTTAAACTCACTTGACAGAAGTGCTCTTAAATGCAAATAAACTCTTCTTCATAAAACACAAAACATGATCAAAATTACAAGTGACGTGAGTTCTAAAACTCAAGACATTTGCTCAGATTCATTACACGTTTTCACAAACATTTTTTAATGTTTGCAGAATAGTTTTTTGGTGTTTGCTTTGGGCTGAGGGGTTCCTCTGCTGTATCGGTTCTTGGTGTTTCGTTTGAGCAAAGCAAGAGTCGTGCTGCATTCCATCTTTTCCCGTCACTGAGGACAAATGAACTCCGTCCAGTCTACTGCTATGCAGAAAGGATTGCTGTAGTGCATCTCTCCTTTTCCAACATGAAAAGGCTTCTTCTCGCTGACCGTAGCTCCAACAGAGGCTTTGGTGGGTTAGGAACCTCTAATTTTGAGTACTTGTTTGTGTTAGAACACTTTGACTTTATTGTAGAGCCACTTTGTCTCTAACATCATCATACTGTCCACTGCCTCCGGTGGAGGCAGGAGATTCAGTTTTGTCCTCATTGGTCCTCCTCTGAAAAAGTGGAACAGGGATTCACTAACTGTGGCGTAGGGTGAAGCCAACTAGCTGTAAAGCATTTCAGTAAGTGCAGGTTTGCAGGGCCATTTTGTAGCGCGTGCTGCCTGAATGGAGTCCTTCAGCACTCTATTACAGCGCTACATGCCCATGTTCACTTATGAACTTATAAAAACAGGAGATGTAAATGGTGGTTTATTATTGGTTGTGATTATGCAAGTTTCCTTCACGAGCAAAAACAGAAGTTAGGAATGCCATCACTGTTTGTTGTAGCATTAGGAATAAATGCTTTAGGCCGTTTACTGAAAAAACCTACAAGAGTGTTGGCAAACCTGCAGTCATAAGCTCCACGTTCGAATAAATCCACAATGTAGACAGCAATGTCTTGAAATAGACCCTCAGGAAACTTGATATATTGTAATAGGGCAGACGAATGGGACTGTGGAGACTAAATTTGTCCATATGTGGCCACTAGTATAGTTCTCTGAGGTGTTATTTGGTGCGAACCATGCCCTGGTGTTATTTATGAGCCGGGTGCACACATTTTTTCTCGGAGACTTGGGAAGTATGCAACATTTTCCTCTGAATATCCATGGTTAAGTAGCCATTTCATGCCATACATGACATGTAAGTAAGGTTTGATTTCTTATGGAAGGAGCTTCTTCAATCTTATAAGGCACACACACAGGTGACTACTACCTCATTATCAGTATTATTAACTAATGGAGTAATAAAGCTTAATACTGTCTTGGGTTTTAAATTCTCAGCAAAAAAGTCTTTAGTTTTTCTTTAATGTTTTCCCCCAGAATTAACAAGAAATGTGCAATCTTTTGAATTTGTATGCATCATTAATAGCAGCTGGCACACACAAAAAGAAAAACTCCTGATTTAAAATGTATGTAAGAGCAACAGTTTTCACTGTTAAAATATATTTGTTGAAATTTAATAATATGAAGTGAACTACAGTGAAGCTTGCTTTTTCTGTAATGCCTGTTTTGACTAGTCTCAGTACTTGTACTCTGAAGTGTGTCACATTGTCTCTCTGGGCTCGTAAAACTACCTGCAGGAGTACAGCTCAAAAACATGGGGGGGGGGGAGGCTTTGGTATTATAATTTTTGGGGGCTTTTGATCAATACGTGTCATAAAATTCATGAATACCTCAGGAAACTAGGTACACGAGTGAAAGGTGGACTCATAAAATCTTGCTTTGTACAGCTGTTCTCGTGTTAAACACTGTCAACAATAAGCTCGATATCAGCTGTTTGGTTTGGAGGCCCAGGTTCTGTACACTGTCTCCACAGTATCCAAGAAACTACTGACATCTGGTAATTGTCAAATAGAATAGAAATAATGACATACTTTTAACAAATTAATTATCATACTTTAGAATTCTGAAAAAGTTACACAAATTTAAAAAAAAAACAGAATGTTAACAGTTTTGTAAAGAAAAGCAGCAAACTATTAAATGTACAACAGCAACGACAAAGTTGAACTCAAACTAAACGAGATGAGCCTTGACAGAAAGAGCAGATTTGTGTAAAGCTGAACTAAAGATTTATTCAAACTGTTACGCGGTTTATTGCCACATGTTACTTAGTACACTGGTTTGCACAGAGCCTGTTTTAAAACCTCCTCAACAGATACAAATATATCACTTTATATCTAAATTGCAGTTCAGATCACATTAGATGCATTTGATAATGGAGGAGTCTGGACAGCCTTTGTATTTTATTGGAAATGTAACATTTTCACATTAATACATTTACCTCGACTGAACTATTTGGTCAAAAATACCCATTACCATTGATCATGTAGATCAAATTAAACAGATCTCTATGATTTTTTAAAGTAGATCAACCAAAAAAGGCACCAGTTTAACTGTACGATACACCTGATGTGTTCAACATCAACAGGTTCTGTATTGAAGAGTGACAAATTACTAAGTTACTTTAAAAAGTTGTTTCTGTTGATTTACTCATAGGCGTCGCAACCATTATACGTGAAGGGGACAAGTCCGCCCCACATTAAAAAAAACGTTCATTTGGACCCCCCCACACTTTTACTATAAAACATTAGTTCAGTCTGCGCAGCTTCTCTTTCTTCTTGAACGAATCCATTCCACTTGATTAATAGAATACTCAAACCACTAAAACTCCACTCCAGGTTTTCCTGGTTACCTCCAACTCTGAACACAGCAGCCTGTTGCCACGGTCACAGAATATGGTGTAACACCTGCAGTGTTTCTGTGCGTCTCCTCCTGGCTCCGCATAAAACGCGCACAGGTGGAGGAGGTGGAGACACCTCAGTTTAGCGAGCTTAGTGCGGGCAGTTGTTGACCGGGGGGTTGATCATAAACATATATTCATGTTAGGAGGATGCTTGAGAGGAGCGCTACGTCTGTAGCATCTTAGCTTAGCTGGAACTGTGACGCTCAGTGTTGCCAGGTGTACGATAATTATTGTATTTGTACGACAATTTTGCCCTCTGTACGATCAATAATCCCCAAAAAGGCCAAATATACAATAATTTGACCATTCCGTGAATGTGTGGTTGTAATCGGTTGTCATCAGCCTGTCGCAAGTGTCTGTTGGAATTTTTTTGTGAACCCTGAAGGCATCTGTGTCTGCAAACAGATGCACGATTGGCGTGCTTTTCTAAATGTGACCTACGAGTGACGTGTATGCGTTTGCCTCAGAACAACGGCCGTGATTGGATGAACAGTCCACTGCGCCCGCCCCATGAGTGAGGAAAAGAAAAGGAGAAGAAGCAGAGCCGGTCTGGAAGCAGACCCATCACTACTATAGTGCATCAATAGATTTGTTATTTTGGTTATGACCGGTGTACGATAATTTCCCTCAAAATACAATAATTTTATCTCTAGTACGATAATCCTACATTTCTCACCTGGCAACACTGGTGACGCTGCAGGTGTAAGAGACATGGTGCGTTCAGGTGCATTAAAGCTGAAATGTCTTTAAAACCCCACACCTTATTGTCCTCAAGCTTCATGAGAAACATCATTTAGATGAGTAGTGTTGAACACAAGTAAAAAAGTCCAGTGGTGATGTTTTTTTATTTCTCTATAAAGACAAATAGTGCCGACCTGACGCTCTGTATTAAAGTGCATTAAAGTTAAAATGTCTTTAAAACCCACAGCTGAATTTACACAAACTTGGTGAGAAACATGCTGTAAATGTGTGGAAGTAAAGGAAATCTAGGTGAAATGCTGCTTTTTGTACATTAGTGAACACTTTTTTTACGCACTCCTCCACATTACGGATGTTCCTGACACCCTTGGATTTACTGTACATTTAATTGTGAACAAACACAAATTAAAGTGTAATAATTCTTTGAATGCTCATTCAACAAACTGTTTTCCTGTTTGTAGTTTCTCCCGTACAGCTTTTGCAATCATGTATTTCCACATTCTTCGTGCTATAACTTTATTTACATAAAACATTAAGCTTGCTCAAAAACACCATGCTTTTAATAGTTATGACTTCAGTACTTTTTTCCCATTAATAAAAATTGTTTACAATACAGTCCCTATAGAAACTCATTCCCTGGTCTCTTCAATTCCTCCAAAAACATTGTTTTCTGAAATCTATTCAGACAAACTCTTTAATCCCTTTAGGTTTTACTTTTATCTACAGCTTTGGTAAATGTAACTTTTAATTACAGTTTAGCTTAGTTTTACTTTTAGGTATTATTTTGCTAATTGTAGACTTTTAACAACTGTTTTGCTCTTTTGTTTTTTTTAGCTATGGTTTTAACTTTAAGGTTGAGCTAATGTTTTGCAAGCTACTGTTAATTTCACCGAGCTCATTTCAATTCTTAGCTACTGATTTGCCAGTTCTGTATTTCAGCTGTGATTTTTTTTTATGTTAGTTTAGCTAGTTTTAAATTTTACTGTTCAATTTCAGCTACATGTATTTCAGCAGTCATTCATCAGTCAGCATTCACTGCATGTTTGCAGAAAACGTTAATTTATTTCGTCAGTTTTTATTTTTCCCTCCAACCACAGCTGTTTAAACTGAATGCTGGCTGCAGACTTCACGATCTATAAGTAAGAAAATAAAAAAACTAAATTAAAATCAGTGTTGATATCCTCCCTGACAGGGATGCGAACCCCAAACCGTGAACAACTTACGGTTCCCGGAGACCTGATTGTCCAGCTGCTTCCCGCCGCTCAGACCTGCGTTAAGTTGGACGTAAAGTCCGACGTACTGTAAAATCCCCAACATCAGCCCGAACGCCCCCATCGCTTCCGCCGGGTTTCTTCAAGCAGTTGCGTGAAATGCAGACATCAGGTGGAAAACATCGATAAGAGCGTGTCTCCACCGGACCGGTACCAGGCAGCCGTCAGACCTCCAGCCGGACCTGAAGGGGAAAACACGTCGTCTCCTCCGCTCACCGAGCCGTGAGGTAGGCGGAGGGAGACACAGGTGCTGCGGCTCGGCTCAATTAGGCGGAGGGATATCAGACAGATGTGAAAGTATTATTACTGACTTCTTAAAATAATAATAATAACACATTTTAGTTGTATCATTTATCATAATTAAAAGTTATGTTGTTTAATATAGTGGGTGACAAATATAATACAAATATAGTTTAAAAGGACAGTTCAGCTTTATTGAAATAGGATTCTAATGAATTTCTTATTATAATAATAATAATAACTTGTTTTGGTGCACAGTAACTACAGAAACTACAACATCTGAATTCTAACTCAGAAATGTCATGAATTTCTGATTTAACATTCCAGTCTGGCTGATTTGTGCATGAAACACTTCTGTCAAGTTGTTTTCTTCTTTCAGCTGCTCCCTTCTTCAGGAGTTACAGCGCACTAACTCACACAACGTCTTGGCAATTGTTTCTATGTGGGATGTTCTTCCTGAAACAACCACGGACCACCGAGCTACCACAGCCCTCTGTGGAGCAGAGAGCTGCCATCTAGGGCGCCCAGGGGACCTTAAGTTAAGGACCTTGCTAAGGGCCCAGAGTGGGGCAAATGAGGGTGAAGGCAGGTGTGGGTGTTTCACCTTTCTCACCAACATTTTGATGTTGTCAGTCCATGGAGTTGAACCGGCGACCTTCCGATCACAGACCCACCTTCCCTAGCCACAGCGCCACTACTCCCCTATTTTTGTTTTTATTAGAAATTAACGTATATGCTCATACGATTTTGTATTAGAGTCCTGTAGGGGCAGCAAATCAATTTGCCACCTTCAGCTTTAATAACTTATTTAACGCCAAAGCACCTTCTGCTTCCATGGCCGCGCGCAGTCTTATTACATTTATTAACAAACAGCACCATTTGATGAGTGTACAAATCACTGCACTGCCACAAAAGAAGATTAACTATCTTCTGAGAACTCTACAAACTCTGAACATCTTTGTCCTGCTCCAGATTTTACAAAAGGCTCATAAATCCATTTGTTTGTTTTCATTTTGGGGCAGATTTTATAAAAATGGCTCAGAATCCTAGAGAGGAGGGAATAACATTTGAAGCAAAGGTATGCAGACGGACACAATACCTGGGTGGGAGCTCTGAGATCAGCTCCTCCACATTAACTGATTTGGACAGCCCCCACCAGAGATGAGGCATGTGTGTGTATGTGTGTGTATAGGAATAATGGTTATACAGCACAGGTCCAGTTAAATATAAAATAAAGAGAGTGAACTGGGAATGTGACTCCACCAGAGAGTGGATTTCAAAGCCTCCACCGAATCTTCATGACATCCATTATTTATTGACTTTTCTTTCACACATTCAGCTGCCTCTTTTACCTCCAAGTCTTAGATAGCAGAGTTATTCTGTCGGAGCAAATTGATGTGCTGCACAAAGAAAGGCACAGAATATTAGGCTTCCTTTCAGTATGACACTTTTTTTTTTATACAGGTTGATTTATGTAAATGTACTCTGTGTGGTATTGACAAAGGAAAATTTCACATCACATAATCTGCATTTTTATTGGTATACTTTTGTGGGGAGCTGCACACAAACATAAAGTAGAGATCTATGAAGTTAACTTTTATTTTGCTGCAACTTGATTATATTTCTATGTGTATGCAGAGTTTCAGTCATTCAAGTTGAATTTAACTTTCTCAGTTCAGTTTGAGTTCAAAAACTCCCCAGATGAGGAGCAAACGACTTAGAACAGCTACCTTTTTTTCAAAGATCTCGGATTTTTTTTGCAAAATTATAAGAATTGATTTTTTTAATCTGGGTCAAGCATTTCATATAATAAAAAAATATATAGCATATAGTCCAAATGAAGCCAAGACCAAAGTTGATTGCAAAACTAGTAGACCAAATTTAATTTCAAAAAGTTATAATGGTTCCATCAAACACTATTTCTTTGCACGACGGTCAGTTTTGCATTGGGGGCAGCTGTTGCTGAGTGGTTAGTTAAGTTGTCCTCCATTGGGAGGGTTGAGGGTTCTATTCCACCAGCAGTCACATCTTGAAGTGTCCTTGGGCATGACACTGAACCCATAATTAATAATAATAATAATAATTTATTCAAATTGTACTGCACTTTACATTTTACAATCTCCAAGTGCTACAATATAAAACACCTAGAGAGAATAAAACATGGACTAAAAAAATAAAAACAGCATGATTAAAAATGCCTTTAAACACTATAAAATATTTCAACTAAAAGGCTCTTCGGTCCTTTCTTAAAACTTTCTGTAGTCTGGGGTGTCTTTATGGCCGGGGAGGGTGTTCCACAGACGAGGAGCAGCAGAGCAAAAGGCCCCACCACCCGTGGTGCACAGTTTTATCTGGGTAGGCTGGAGCTGATGGAGCGGGGGATCGTGTTGATGTCTGAGCAATGAATGGATTCGTGGGTGAGTAAGGAAACCTTGCATTCAATGTGGAGTGAAATGGGAAGCCAGTTGAAGAATTCAAGGATTGGGGTGATGTGGTCATGTTGCGTCTTCAGAATCCTGGTGAATTGCCTCAGGTGTGTGTCCCATCAGTGTATGAATGTGATAAAACACTGATTAGTCTCTACAGATTCAGATTTGCTGTATAATGGATAAATGAGGTCACAGACTGCGTTGTAAAGCACTTTGAGTATCTTGACTAGACAGTCCATTTACCATATGCGGTTCCTGATACATTTTTATCTTTACAGTCGCTCGTGGGTTTTAATTTCTCTCCTTTTTTCTGCTCTCCACTTTACACGGGCGTATCACTGCCACCTTACGTGGATTCGACTTTCCTTTTCATAAAACTCATCTCACTCGAGGAGCCCATCGTTTCCTGAGTTTTAACATGTGCTGCCATAAGAAATGAAAGGTGAGAGCATCACAGCGTGTGTCGGCTCCTTCTCCTCTGCTCTGTTTACCAGACTTAATAAGAGTAAATCTTTGGGCTTCTGACTGAGTAGAGATCTCGGCACTGTTCAGCACTTCATGAATATTAAAGGAAGCTCCCAGCGATAGAAAACCATTTTTACGACAGGTTTCAAATGTGGCAGCAGCTGCTTGCACACACAATCCATTTTTTCCCCTTTGGTCGTGCTCAGGCAATATTGGATGCTTTAAACAAACCTCGAGGACTTAACTTTACAACATGTAGATATCCCAAAATATTTCATCTTTTGGCGCTTCTTAAACAAGTGTAAGGAAGTATTGCTTTTAATGTTGCCAAAGCCTGGTGGAGATACTGTATGGTGGAGGTTAAGGTGCAGGAGAAAGTTGCAGGATGTCCGGAGAGAAAATGAACTGCAGAGCTTATGTTGTTAAATCATCAACCATTACAAACCCACCAGACTGGAAACTGTCAAACCCCTCCTTTGTTGTGCCCGTGTCATTTGCTTAGACGAGCGCCCCCACCCTCACCAACACCAACACCATGACACTAACTTACAACAGTGGTGAAGTGTTTGCACACTCCACAGCATCCATCAGCTGACAGGCAGGGTGTGTGCTGGCCTCTCTCCTCCGTCTCAACCTGTCATCTTTCTGGCTGCTCGGGAAAAATTATATTACGGCAACAACCTCACCGCCATTTTCTGGTTCAGTGGATGTGACTCTGCGCTCCAGTAAATCTTTGCTGTTCAATTCTGGTGCAGTTATTCTTAAAACTTGCTGCTGAAAAAAAAAAAAAAAAAATCAACCTGTTTCCTGGCAGGAGGAGCAGGTGCGGCACATTAACCACTTTTCTGTTTCCCGCCTTCGTCTGGAGGCTAATGTGGCCTGACGGAAACATCTAAACATGAAATATACATCAGGCTCTGGCAGTGATGAATGCTCAGCGTCTTATGTAAATGAAACTGTGCTGAACAGTCGTACACACTGAAGTTTTGTGCTATGATTCTAGAAGTTTTGATTAACGTGAACAATTTGTATGTTCATTTCCAAACAGCGTTCTTATCTTCTTCATCATACTTGCCCTTTACCTAAATTATCTGTGCCTCTGTGATCACCTAAATGCCTCTTCTGAGGACGCACAATGCCTGCCAGTCTTTGCAGAGCTGGACAAGTAAAATCAATTGAGCTATTAAAGTGTGCGGTGTTAGTACACTTTCATTAGTGCGAGCTATTCAAACACGAGGGGATGTGATTGTCTGTGCTCACGCTCTCTTCACAGCTTTTAGCATTTCATTAGAGTGGGGCAGATTGTGGTCTACAGGTTTGAATCTTTTACCAATTTTTTATCAGTACTCCTCCTTTCTGTCAGCCAGTCAGGTGAGCAGAGACAGTTCTGAGCCCCAGCATCACCTCAGGCATTCACCTCCTTGTTTTTTTTAACGTTTAGACTTTAGATTTGAAGTTACAGATTAATAAACTACACACAAACATTGCCCTGATATTTTTTTGTGTACTCTAGTTTTGCAAATTGCATGTTAAATTCCAAAGTTCATGCTCAATAATCCAGGTTAAAAAAAAAAATCCAACAAAGTTCAGTCAGGTCATCTGGATGGTTTCTTTTTTTTGTTTTGTTGAGACATTTCGTCCTTCATCCAAAGGACTTCATCAATCCGAGGAGCCACAAACAAACTCAATCCCACAAGCAGCACACTCTTATAGTAGACCAACCAGTTTGCTGGTGATAAGATGGTTTTTTGGGGCATGCCCTCTCCCCCGTTAACCCTTCTGAGGCAGCCATAGCCAAAGTGGTTCAAAACATCAAAGTTCATGCTCAATTTATTTATTTATTTACCTCTATTTATTGAGAAATAGGGCGGCGCTGTGGCGCAGTTGGTAGAGCTGCTGCCTCTCAGCGAGCAGGTCTCCCCAGTTCAAATCCCAGCCGGGGAT